CATGTACTATACTGGATGGCATTAACAGAGATGGGCTTCTAACGCCTCTGGTAAATTTTCTGCTAAGTGGATATAAGGTTCAAAATGTATTTAATGTCAAAAAGCAAGGTACATTTTTTTTTTCTTGCTATTGAATCTTCTCCTCAATACAAGTTTAGGCTGCAAAGTTAGGAATTCAGGCAAAAGCACCTACAAAACTTGCATCCCTATTTAGATTTTCTTCACGTTACTGGGTCTCTCACTTTTTTCCTTTTTCTTTTTTTTTCTTTTTTTTTTTTTTTAAGGCTGTAGCCATAAACACACATTTCCTGTGCCATTTCGAGTGGTATTAAAACACATTTAGATTTGGCAAGCTTTTAGGATGTCTGATGTAGTGGCTGGAATAACTCACATGGCAGGGTAAAATTGTGCCACTTGGATTACCAGGAAATCTTGTAATTTGTTTGGATTAAGCATTTTTTTGGGGGAGGCCTGACAGACACTCACCAGGCAGAACTAAACAGTCAGAATCTTCTCTACCCAGCTCCACTATGGAAGTGTAACATTTAAAGTATTCAGCTCTGGTTTATATTGGAGTTTGTGAGGTACAGTCAGAGACTAAAGTTTCTTTTTCAACTCTTGTTTTAATCGTCTATTAAGATACATAGGTAGTGTGTGCTTATATTCTAGCTTTCCCACTTTGGATGTGGCAAATTCATTTCAAATGGTGTTAGTTTTGCGGCAACAGAAGGAAAGGAAGCAAATAAGTAGTGGAATAAATAATAAGTGTGGAAAAAAGTGGAAATAAGTAGTGGAAAAAAGATCTTTCTCCCAATAGTTAAAGGTGCTTTTCCCAAATAGTTGCATATAAAGACGGTTCCATTTATTTTTAAAAACCAATATCGAAATGAAAAAATACATAAGAATTTAATGTATGCAAGAATTTTCCATACGGAAAGGTTTGTTGGTGGCAAAGGTACTGGTTTACTAAAGGGGCTGTGACAGGGTATGGTTTCAAAGAGAACTCAGGTCAATAATGGCTGAAAACTGTTACCACCATCTGATGGTTCTGCGATCTTTAAAGCAAAATACTTTTTATGAACACATTTAGGAAAAATTATTTAAGCAGGCAATATATTAAAGATGAAGAAAATAACATTCCTCAGAGTCTTTTAAGATGGAAAGACTTGTGATTCTTTCACAGGAGACTGTTTCTGTGTCGGTTTTGCCCATTCTGTCAGTCCAAGGTCATTCACCTCTGTAATGAACAACTGTCTGATACAATCTGTCAGATGGTTTTATTCCTTACCAAGCTGTTCCACTTGGAACATTGTACCTCAGGAGCTGCAGCAAGACATTGTCAGCTTTCTTAGCGTTGCATTTTAATTTCGTTCAGTGGGATTTTAATGAACTGTGGTATCTGTCAGCCCAATCTTAGGCTTTACTTGAAAACTGTACTAGCTGATTAGAAATCCATCCTGCAGTCGCTTAAGAGCAGGAGTGTCTTTATTATCTGAGTGGTTTCGGAGGTGTTGAGTGCTCTCAGTAATCACAGATGTGAGAAGGAGCTGACAGGGCTGAGCAGGATGCAGGGAGATTTGCGTGTTTCTCCTGTGTGAACAAAACTATGAAAAGCAAAGAAATTAGATAGCGGTGTAATTATAGATCTAATTTGTCATACGTGCTATATGTGAAACACTTAACAGGTTCTCAAGGGTGTTTTATGTATGCGCATATGGAGATCACATGGCATCCATGTCCTGAACCTTCAACAGTATTAATAGAGCCCGTGTTTGTGAACTGAGGACAATATGCAGCCTCTCTCTGAATTATTCCTGGTCACAAATTTCAGCCAAAAGTAAACCACTTAGTTCATAAGCATTCTGTTTATCTTGAAAGAACTAGTATATATTATCCCTGCTCAGACTGCAGTTAATCCCACAGGCCCTGAATGGTAGTAGGATGCCAGTTATAAATCAGTGTATGTGGCATGCACTTAACACAACTGCATGCCTTTTCAGTTTTAAGTCCATGATATCTCTTGCCCTGTCCATGCAGTAAGGCAGCCTTCTGAGATTCTTCCTCAAATGACATTTCATCTGTGAAGCTCTTTATGTTGGCTGTGAGTTTCCTTTTTTTTTATTTTATTTTATTTTTTTAATTTGAACTGCTAGGCATACCTAAACACCTTTCAGCTTTAGTTTGTAGTAAGTGTCATAGATGTGGTCAGTTCTGACAGAAACATGAGGGAAAGTCTAAGTTCTTTTGTTCATTGTGTAAAGTATTGGTTTTGTCATCTTGCAGCTACAATCATTTGGACTGATCTGGTTAAGATGGGACATTTAAAGTTACCTTAGCCTTTAAGATTATATTTCATGTTAAGTGCAATTTTAGAAAAAAATGTTATGGTTTGACTTCCTTTATTTCTATGTATCACATTCTGTTTCAGTTAAAAAATGATAACTTTTGGAATAAGGAATGTATCTTCATCTATCTTCTATGGGCCTCAGATAAAGAAAAATTAATTTCTGTGTGTGCTTCTTCATGCCAGTTTACATTACCACATATTTTCCAGTATTTGAGTCATTACTCAGAGACCAGCAGACAGGGGAAAGGACAGAGTTGTCTGAAGTTGAGTTGTTTTAACAACTTATTTTTAAACACCACTACCTCATGTTTTAGTTCTGTCTCTAGTCTTGCTGCTAACACTCAGGGATTGCTTTGATTTGTGGGAATAACCCACTGGCCTAACAGGTCTTCATACAGAATTAAACACCCCGTGAAAGTTGCTCTATCTAACAGAATTATATAAAAGAAATGAGTTTTCTTTTTATTTGTATCACATATTCAAGCATATGCTAGCATTTAAAAAGCATGTTTTATGAAATGGGGAGGAGAATGATCTTTGAAAGCATTGAGACTATACGCTCAAACACACATGGCTTTTTTTGGCTGGTTTTTTTTTTTTTTTAATAGGTTAGTCCTGGCTATCTGGGGAGCTAACCACAGACTGTCTGCAGAAAAAAATGGGAGTTTCTACCCACAGGGATGGTTTTCATACTCAAGGCTGTATCTTGCACATGCCTGCAGAAGAAATAGAAGTGCTATCATTCTAGTTTGACAGTATAAAAAAAAAATATGAATGTGAAAGTTCAAAGCTTTCAGGTTTCAAGGGGTGAGTGACAGTGTAACAGAGCTCTGTATTGTCTTTTTCCAGACTTCTATTACAGGTAAGTTTTCTAATCTTAATGCTGGTGCCACAGTAAGGGAAGATAAATCCCTGGCTCTGTGGTATTCTCTTACTGCTTATGGCAGAACAGCAACATCTCCATTGATGGCTGGAAATGGCTTCTCCCTTACTGCTCCTTTTTGTATTATTCAGAGCAGTTCTTGTAACTCTTCCTAGAGAATGCCTCACCTACCAATGTGGTTATTGTTCACAATATTTATAGTCTTGGTACTTGGAAGCCAGGCTAGGGGAAGAACAATGGGCCTTTTTCTATTAATTTCAATGGAATTGCATGCGGGATTGATTAGTCCATGGGCCAGAATGAAACAGCTGTCCAGTTCTAATGCATTTTTGCTTTGTTGAAGGTGGTTGATTAATTAGGAGTCAGGGTGACATGAAAACCTACAGTACCCTATAACTATGTCATCAATTTGGAATGACTTTCACAGAATTTCCTGGTTTCATAGATGACTTAATATTCTTTTTTTTTTTTCCCCCTAATTGTACATGGAAATTTTGATGCTGCAAGGTAAATGGGAGTTTTCATTTTCTCCTTCCCAGGGTGTTGCAGTGAAAGAGTTTTGTAAAAAATAATAATAATAAAAAAATCTTCTCTGACTAGAAACATGAGATAAAGCAAGTACCAGATTGGAAATTATCTATGAAGTTGTCTTTCCTCTCTTTGTTTTCTAAATATTGACCATCTTGCTTTCCCCTTGTTCCTAGAATTTATCATGATGGATTTGTAATAATGTGTACCAGAATCACCTACTGCAATAACAAAATGACAATGTAATCTAAATGATGATGTTGGAACTTTGAGGAAAACTGTATCTGGTCTTTTTGAGTAGCCATGTCTGGGGAGTCTGTAGGGGGTCAGACTTCCAGCAATCACAATTGTGATGTCAATCGAGAACTCAACCGAGGTGGGAAGGATAGAGCATGCTGCTACCCACTGACAGGCACTTTGAAATCCAAAGTTGATTGTTTTTCTTTCGGTTTGTTGTGGTTTTGCCTGTAAAAACAAAGCGGGCATCATTCTCTCTAAGAAAGAGAATGCTCAGCATAATATTTAGGCTGCCATACTTCAGATTTGTATGGGAATACTACTTTAGAGATAGATGGGGAGGAAGGGCTGAGTGACTTCTAGGCGTGACAATGGATGTGGATCTCCTTGGTGTCAGAACAAGCTGTGTTGCTGTTTACTGTAGTGGGAAATGAGCATGTTCCTGTCAGTGTAAACTAAGTTTCTGAGTGTATCAGGAGTTCTGCACGTGGAGCTGTAACCGTTCTGATGTGGAAGTGGTTGGGTCTTTGTTCTTCATCCGTGCATCATCTAATTGTAATTTTTTTTTTTTTTTTACACCAAGTATTAATAGATAATGTTCAAGTTCTCAGAGTGCCAGGGTCTACAGCTACTGGTGGCAAGTGTTTCATGGGGAGGTGGGGTCCTCGAAGCAGCACTAGGACTTCTGTGGATTTCATGCGATTCATTCTATGACACATTTCACATCCAGCTTGTTTTGTCCACGAATGTAAGCAGGTGCACATGGCACTTCTCAAGTGGGCGCTGGCTGGAGAAGTAAATATTTACTGTTGATGTGTTTATTGTTGAAAGGATCCCAGGCAGCTCCTAGCACGGCGGGACACCTGAGGGGTCGGGGGACGTTCCCCACTCGGCTCCTTTTGACCTTGACCCGAGCGACAAACCTTCAGCAGTTGCCGCCGGTTACGGGTGGAGGGAAAGCGGCTTTCCTTGGTGGGGACGGCAGACCCGAGGGCCGGGGCCCGCATGGCCCCGGGGCCAGCTCCCCCGGAGGGGACGTTCCGGCTGGGCACGGCCCTCCAGAACGCCGAGCCCCCCCCCGCCTCTGACCCCACACAATCCAGCGCCGGAGCGGGGGCCGTACGGGCGGCGGGGCCGGAGGGGCGGTGAGACGGGACTACCTGCCGCCGGGCCGGGCCGGGCTCCGCCTCCCTCCTCGGCGCGGCCCCGGGGCGGGGCCCGAGGAAGTGACTTCAGCCGGCGGCGGAGCGGCGGGG